CGGGCCGGCCTCGGCATGTTCGGCGGGGAGGGCCGGGCTCAGCCGCTCAGCCGCGCCCGCTCCGCGGAGCCCCCGCGTGCCTTACGCCGCCAGCGTCGGCCAGCGGGGGGCGGTGGCTTGCGCGCGCCACTGCGCACGCGCCGCCAAGCAGCGGGAGGTGCGCGCGTCGACACGTCACAGCGCGGGGTGTGGCCTTCATGGGAGGACGAACTTTACAATAGCATAGGGCGTGGCCTACGAGGTTCGAGACGTTGGTTTACCACAATTCAGGGGCGTGACTGTCAGCCAGGGACCCTCGCTTTACGACTGGGTGAGGCGTGGCCTCAGAGAAGGGGCTGGCTCTTTACTATTCCGGGGCTAGACCTGGAGGCGGGAACGGCACTTGAACAACAGCGTAGGGGCGTGGCTGAGGCGGAGACGTGCAGAGCGAACGTTACGATAATGAAGGGGGCGTGGCATTGAAGCGGCATCCTTTATGGCTTTTGAGGGCGTGGCCCAGCCGTAGGGGCAGAGTTTTACATCAACCCCAGGGCGTAGTTTAGAGGCGGGCGCAGAGCTTTCCCACAACCCAGGGGTGTGGTCAAGAGGCGGTGCGCCGTTTTACGACAGAGCCTAGAGAAGGCGGTGACTGCGCGACGACACCGCGCATTACGACTGGATCGAAGCCGCCCAGTTGCTAGTCTCGAGCGACGCCAGATCCCGGAGGCCGCCGGAGCGTGCCTGGGGAGTAAATAGGAGCAGCAGAGACTCCGCCTTCTGGGGACGGGGCTTCCGCCGTCGCTATGGAGACGCGTGGCGGTCGTCCTGGGGCCAACTCGCTGCCGCGTCCGTGACGCCATCATCTCGCCACCTGACGTCATCTGGGCGGTGTCGAGGGGTGTGATCTTCGTAATGATGGGGCGGTGCTCATCCCGGAAGTTGCTTCCATTAAGGAAAGTAGTAATACTAAGTGAGAAAATAGAATCAATGTTCAGCATTGCACAAAAGTGTCAATTTTTAAAAAATTTATTATTTATAATTTTTATTTTATGTGTATGAGTGTATTGCCTGCATGTAGGTAAGTGCACCCGTGTAGTGCAATGCCCGCGGATGACAGAAGAGGCCATCGGATCCCCTGGAACTGGAGTTGACAGCTCCCTGTGGGTGCTGGGATTCAAACTCTGGTCTTCTGCAAGAACAACCAGTGTTTTTAACCGCTGAGACATCTCTTCAGCCCCCAAAGTGTCAATTTTTGATAATGGCAGGTGGGCAGAGTTAGGCCTGATCTTCTCGGTGTCAGTTCTTTAAAACTTAATTTGGATTTTTCTTTTTTTTTTTTTTTTTGACGCAGTCTGCCTTTAAGCTTGTGGCAGTCGTCTTGCCTCAGCTTCTCAAGTGCCTAGGATGACAGGCATCCCCCTCCACCCCCTGGTTTTTCCTTTTCTTCATTTTCATGGAGACATCCCCAAGGGCGAGAGCAAATCCAGGGCTTCTGGGGTCCCCAGCCCACAGCAGGTCACCTGAGCCACCCAGTCACTTGTACCACCGAGGGAGGGCTCTGAATCCAGCTGGTATTCAATTGGCGCAACCTTCAAAGTGCTTGCATGCACTGCTGTATGTGGTTGATCCTGTGCAATCAAAGGGCCAGGCCTGGGAGTAGCCAGTGCAGTTGCAGTGTTGATTTCTGAGGTTCCCCCATGCACCCTAATCCCACTACCTCTCCAATGCAGATGTCTGTGAACTTGAAAGAGACACTTCTATTCAGGTATCCTCAGAGCCTCTGAAAATAGACTGGTGAGCTACTCAGGGAGTCCTGGGTCCTGGGGAAGGGTGATGTCATAGGTGGCAAAGTTCCTGAGGAGGTCTGCATTAAACAGATGGCTCTGGGGAAAGCCAGACCCCATGTGATCTGAGCCCAGTTTCAGCCATGGCTGTGAGCTGCTTAGGCTTCAAAGAATAGAGGTGGGCTGGGCCTGGGCTGCAGCATTGGGGCAGGGGGCAAGGATAGAGGCAGGCAGTTCTCTGTGAGGTCAAGGCCAGCCTGGTCTACATAGTGAGTTCCAGGCCAGCTGTGGTGGGTGACAGGGAAACCCTGTCTAAAACACAACAAAAACACTAGTAACAAAACAAAACGAAATAACAAAAAAGGGGAGGTGCCACACACACCTTTAATTCCAGCCCTCAAGGAAACAGGCAGGCAGATCTCTATAAGATCAAGGATGAATTTGACCCGGTTCCTCTGCAGGAGCAGCCAGTGTTCTTAACCACTGAACCATCTCTCCAGCCCCCTGGTTTAATATTTGGACTGAAGGACTCACTGTGTAGCCCAGGATGATCTTGAACTTGTGGCAATCCTCTTGCCTTAGTTTTCTGGGTAAAGGGATAACAGGTGTGGGCCACCATGATCAGTAGATATTGGAATTCTTAACATTGTTTTTGGAATTATTATTGGTTTGCACGTGTTTGCACTACCAGGAGCATGCACACATAAGCCACATCACATATGGAGGTCAAGACACAACTCATAAGGTCTGTTCTCTCCCTCCACTTTTTTTTTTTTTTTTTTTTTTTTTTTTTTTTGGTCTTTTTGAGACAGGGTCTCCCTGTAGCCCCAGCTATCCTGGAACTCACTATGTAGACCAGGCTGGCCTTGAACTCACAGAGATCCGCCTGCCTCTGCCTCCTGAGTGCTGGGATTAAGGGCATGTGCCACCACGCCCGGCTCTCCCTCCACTTTTATGTGGGATCTGGGTTCCCACTTTGGAAGCTCAGTTTGTCAAACTTATACAGCAAGTGTCTTTCCCCTAGAGACATCCCAACAACCCAAGAATGTCCATGTTTTGTTTCGCTTTGTTTTGAGAGAGTCTCATGTAGCCCAACCTGGCCTCCAACTGGGTGAGTCGCAAAGGAAGATTGAACTCTCTCTCTCCTGCTTCTACCTCCTAAGTGATGGGACGACAGGTGTGTGCCACCACATGTTTTATGTGGTGCTGGGGATGGAACCCAGGGCCTCCTGCATGCTAGGTGAGCACTCTACCCACTGCTCTGTAAGTACTCGAGCAACTAAACTATAAGACCTCTGCCCACTGAGCTACAAGCACTCTATCCACTGAGCCCCAGCCCCAGCCTAGATGTTGGAGTTTTGATGCTGACACTGAGAAAGTCCCAGCAGACCCAGTGACATAGTCACTCCAAGTGTTAGACTCTCAACACCCTGCCAAGCACCTTAGGGATCCACAACGAGAAGCTACTTTACCCCAATTCCTAGGACCAGGGTCGAGTGATGTTCCCCCAAGACCTATGTCCACCTGGAACCTCAAGAGCCTGACCTCTACCAAGGTAAACTAGCTGCAGGTGTTGCTACTTGGAAGAGGATTTGATAAAACTGGATTTCAGTGTGTCCTGCAGCCAACAAAAAGCATCCTTCTAAGAGGACACTCAGCAGCTGGAGAGACACTCAGCAGTCAAGAGCACTAGCTGTTCTTGCAGAGGACTGGATTCCATTCCCAGCACCAGCATCTCTGTAGCTCCAGTTCCAGGCGATCTGATGCCTTCTCACCTCCACAGGCATTGCACGACAGGGGTACACTTACATGCCTGCAGGCAAAATGATCATACACATACACATAAAATAAAAATAAATTTTAAAATGTTGAAAAACTGCAGAATGTGTGCCCCTGGATAGGACTCCTATATCAAACTTCACTCACCCAGGGCTCAGGGACCATTGTGGAAGAGGAGGAGGAAAGATTGTAAGAGCCATGGTTAGTGCACAAACATAAGGAAAGAGTCTTCCAGGCACCTGGGACTTGCTTATATGAACTTACAACAATGGTGATAGCATGCCCAAGACCCATGGAAAGGCAATCAGACAAAAACCCAGCATAGGAAAATGGGCAGCAGGCCCTAACCTTAGCTGAGGAACTATTGGCAATAGATTACTGCTGTGTAAGGAGGAGTTGATTTTTATTTATTTATTTACTTATTTATTTATTTTTTGTCTTTTTGAGACAGTGGCCCAGTAGCTCCAGCTAGCCTGAAACTGGAACTCACTATGTAGACTAGGCTGGTCTCGATCTCACAGAGATCCGCCTGCCTCTGCCTCAAATGATGGCTTAAAAGTGTGCGTCACCACACCTGGCAATGTCCAACATCACAGCCCTTTGATGGTTCCTCTTTTTTTTTTTTTTTTTTTTTTTTGAGACAGAATCTCCCTGTAGCCCCAGTTGGCCTGAAACTCACTATGTAGACCAGGCTGGCCTCTAACTGACAGAGATCTGCCTGCCTTTGCCTCCCAAGTGCTGGGATTAAACACATGTACCACCATGCCCAGCCTTCAGTTGATCTTTAAAGGAGTGACACTAGACAGGCTGAACAGGCCCCAGTGGATGAAGTCACACAGAAGGACATCTGGGAACTTGACTCAATAGGCCTTAACATATATGACAGAATGCATGAAATCCTGTGGACAAGTTATGGGGGTACAGATAGGAGAGGGATTCCAAATATGATTAAGATGTATGAAATGCACAAAAATTCAATAAAAATATACATTAGAAAAAAAATTTAAAAAAGAAGCCACATAAAGCTAAGTTAAGTAGTTCAGACTTATCTTCCCAGCAGTTGGGATGAGGCAGGCCTTGGCTACATAGTGAGTCAGGAGACCCTGTCTGAAAAAAAAAGAGCCAAGTGTGGTTGGTGATGCATGCTGTGAATCTCAGCACTCAGGAGGCAGAGGCAAGCAGATCTCTGGGATTGGGAGATTGAGACCAGCCTGAGCTACATAGCAAGTTCTAGGTCAGCTGGGGCTACAGGGAGTCCCTGTCCCAAAAAAGACCAAAATCTAAACTTTCTTTTTTTATTGATATTTTTGAGATAGGGTCTCCCTGTAGCCCCAGCTGATCTGAACTATGTAGACCAGGCTGGCCTTGAACTCAGAGAGATCCATCTGCTTCTGCCTGAGTGCTGGGATTAAAGCATGCACCACCGCAGCTGGTAAAATCTTTAAAAAGATAATTAAAAGTAGGAAAACCTGGGGCTGGAGAAATGGCTCAGCGATTAAGAGCACTGACTGCTATTGGAGAGGACCCGGGGTTGACTCCCAGCACCCACATGGTGGATACGAACTGTCCTTAACTCCAGTTTCAGGGAATCCGAAGCCCTCTTCTGACCTCCACGGCATTGCACAACATGGGTGCATTCACATACATGCAGGCAATACACTCATATACATAAAATAAAAATAAAATATTTTAAAAATGAAAAACAACACACTGGGGGTTCAGTGGGTAGAGTGTTCACCTAGCATGCACTGAGTCCTGGGTTCATCCCCAGCACCACATAAACGAGGGGTGGTGTACACACCTGTCATCCCAGCACTCAGGAGGTGGATGCAGGAGGATCATGACTTCTAGGATAGCCTGGGCTACATAGAAACTTTGAGGTCAGTGTTGACTAAATCAGACTCTGTCTCAAAGGAACAAAGAAAGAAAACCCAGCCTGGTTAGATAGTTCAGTGGGTAAAGGCACTTGCTGCTGAGCCTGATGACCTGAGTTCCATCCACTGGACCCACACAAGGGAGAGAACCAACCCCAGCAAGCTGTCCTCTGACCTCCGTACTCAAACCCACACATAAAATAAAAATAATAAAATATTTTTTAAAGTATGAAAACCTTACACCACTGGTCACACACAGAGATTTTCTGTGAATTGCCCAAGCCTAAGTGGCACATCTAGGATGCAACCTCTACATCTAAGATTCACAGAACATAGAACAAGGGATGAAGAGACACTAATGCATCTTGTAATTCTCATCGATGAAGCTCCCTCATGCAACAGAGAGCCAGGAACGCAAGCGGTCACGAATGGCCAAAATGCAGAGAATAATAGTCTGCAGAGTGTGGGTCCTTACAGGACTCCTATATTGAGGTCCACTCACTCAGGGCTCAGGGACCGTTGCAGAAGAGGGGGTGGAAAGATTGTAAGAGCCAGGGAGGAGGTGCATGACCATACGGAAATAGTACTAGAGGTGCCTGGGACCCTCCTCATACAAACCTACAGCAATGGTGTCAGCATGAACAAGACCCATACAAACTTAGGCAGACAAAAACCCAGCACAGAACTATGGAAATGAACAGCAGGCTTCAATCTTAGTCAAAGAATTATTGGCAACTGATTATTGATGGGTGAGGAAGAGCTGATCTTCTTGAAGGGAGAGACTCTTGGTTGACTAGATCCTGGTGGATGAACTTGCACTGAGGGACATCTTAAAACACTAACTTTACATAGTAGGCCTTAATACAAATGACAGAATGAGCTGGGTGTGGTGGTGCACGCCTTTAATTCCAGCACTTGGGAGGCAGAAGCAGGTGGATCTTTGTGAGTTTGAGGCCAGCCTGGTCTACATAATGAGTTCCAGGACAGCTGGAGCTACAGGGAGACCCGGTCTCAAAAAGACAAAAAACAAAAACAAAAACAAACAAATGACTGAATGTATGAACTCCATTCGGGGGAGGGCTATGGGAGGTGCCAAAGGGGAGGGGCAGGGGGTATAAAAATGGTGTTAAAATGGTTTTATGTATGAAATACACAAAAACATATATATATATATATTGGTCTTTTTTTTTTTTTTTTTTTTTTTTTTTGTGAGACAGGGTCTCCCTGTAGTTCCAGCTGTCCTGGAACTCACTAGACCAGGCTGGTCTTGAACTCACAGAGATCTACCTGCCTCTGCCTCCCCAGTCTTCGGATTAAAGGCATGCACCACCACATCCAGGTAGGATATCATCTTTTTAATTGATTGGTGATGCCTGCCCTGTGCATGGGAAGGAGGGGCAGTACAGTTTACCCACTTACCATCCTGAGACTAGGGGCTCTCTGGTGAGGCAGCCCCTCCTGTCTCCACATTCTGACACCAGTGATTCTATAACTTTCCTCTATTTTATTATTTTTTAAAAAATATTTTATTTATTATGTTTATTTTATGTGTATGAGTGTATTGGCTGCATGTAGGTAAGTGCACCCATGTTATGCAATGCCTTCAGAGGATAGAAGAGGCCATCAGAGCCCCTGGAATTGGAGTTACAGACAGTTGTTAACTGCCATGTGGGTGCCGGGATTCGAACCCGGCTCTTCTGCAAGAACAACCAGTGTTCTTAACCACTGCACCATCTCTCCAGCCCCCCTATTTCACTATTTTATTTATTTATTTTAGTCTTTTTGAGACAGGGTCTCCCTGTAGCCCCAGATGGCCTGGAACTCACTATGTAGACCAGGCTGGCCTTAAACTCACAAAGATCTGCCTGCCTCTGCCTCCCAAGTGCTGGGATTAAAGGCATGCACCACCACGCCCGGCACTATTTCACTATTTTAAAACATTCCAGAACTTTCTGGGGCTTAGAGAAAGAGCACTGAACATGAACTGTATAGAGAGTGTGCAGACTGTGTTGGGACCCCTTCCTGCCTTTGTGTCCTATGCTGTGTTCTGACATCTGGAAGAGCACCAGGAAGTACAGGCAGACAGAATGGACCAATAAAAGGGTTAGCTCAGGATGGTGGCATATGCCTGTCAGCCCAGCACTTGGAAAGTGGAGGCAGGAGGATCAGAAATTCAAGGTCATGCTTGGCTACTTAGGGAGTCAGAGGCCAGCCTGGGCTACCTGAGGCCCTGTCACAAAAAAATAGAGGGCCAGTGTGGTCACACACACCTTCAATCCTAGCACTTGGGAGGTGGAGGTAGGTAAATCTCTGTGAATTTGAGGCTGCCATCTGGGGATCGGGAGACCCTGTCTCAAAAAGACAGAAAAAAAAAAGAAAAAAAGGAAAGGGTTACAGTAAATGACAGGGTCACATCAGCCTTATTGGGGACAGGGCTCCATGGGGGAGGCGGATAAAAGGGCCAGGGCTACAGGGAGTAAATATTCTGAGGTGGGCATATAGGGTAGCCCTGGGGAATGTAGAGCAGGATCAGGCCCTTGACAGGAAAGCCCAGAGTGTCCCTTGGTGACCACGGGCAGAATAGCATCCTAACAATGGAAGGGAAGATGGGGGTCAGGCCAGCTGCACACACCAAGGGCTGCACTGCAAACTTCTACCTCGGATCTGAGGCACAAAGTCGAGGGTCAAGGAGCAGACAGGTGTGTGCCACCATGCCCTGGCTCCCACGGTGGCCACCATGCAGGAGTCCACCCCAGCCGGCTTCCAGTGGCACATGGTGGCCATGACCCTCGGTATCCTTGACTTGTGGGCACAGGAATTCACATGTGACCATGTCTGGGTCCTGCTCCAGTCACAGTGGCTGACCCAGGACCCACCCTAATGTCAATTTGACTTCTACAGAGACCCTACTTCTACAGGTCAGCTAAGGTACCGAGGAAAGACATTAGCAGATCCCACTGTGAGTCTGTCCCCATCCCACAGCTCTGGACTGCAGCCACTCGCAGTAAGGCCTTTTTTCAAGACAAGGTCTCATGTAGCCCAGGCTAGCCTCCTACTTGTTCTGTAGCGGAGGATGACCCTGAACTTTGTTTTGTTTTTGAGACAGGGTTTTACTATGCAGCCCTCTCTGGTCTGGAACTCCCTATGTAACCCAGGCTGGCCTCAGTCTCAGAGAAATCTACTGTCTCTGTCTCCCTAGTGCTGGGATTAAAGGCCTGTACCACCACACCCAGCTTGGCACCCACAACTTTTTTTTTTGTCTTTTTTGAGACAGGGTCTCCCTGTAGCCCCAGCTGTCCTGGAACTCACTATGTAGACCAGGCTGGCCTTGAACTCAGATCTGTGTGCCTCTGCCTCCCAAGTGCTGGGATTAAAGGCGTGCACCACCATGCCCGGCCGGCACCCCCAACTTTTAAAAAATAAAAAATAAGAGCCGGGGAGGCAGTTAGTTGGGAAACTGTTTGCAAGACGATGATCCTCAGAATCCTAATATAAAACCAGGAGTCGGGGCTGGAGAGCTGGCTCAGAGGTTAAGAGCACTAGTTGCTCTTGCAGAGGACCCAGGTTTGGTTCTCAGCTCCACATAGCGGCTAACAACCATCCTAACATCAGTTCCAGGAGATCTGACACCCTCTTCTATTTTCTTCGAGCATTCCATGACATGGGTGCACTTACATACATGTAGGCAAGACACTCATACATATAAAACGGTAATATATATAAAAAAAAAAAATAAAGCCAGGCATGGTAGTGCGCACGTTTAATCCCAGCACTCAGGAGGCAGAGTGTGATCAAGGCCAGCCTGGTCTACAAAGCAAGTTCCAGGCCAGCTGGGACTACAGGGAGACCCTGTCTCTAAAAAAACAAATTATCAAGATGGACAGTGACTAAGAAGTGACCTAGTGTCAACCTCTGGCCTCCCTACATGCTCACTGCGTATTACAGACACACAGAGATACAGATACACAGGCACACAATACGAAAACAGATTCTGCGGCAGAAAGAGGATTTATTTCCAGAATATTCTCACTTAAATCTACCACGGCATGCAAGTGCACATGCTCGGGGTTGGCAGGGAGGAACTGCAGGTGGCCAGAGGACGTGTCCCCCTAGACCAGGCACCAGGCAACTTTGCATTGCTTCACTCAAAGTAGGCCCGTCTGCAGCAGGGATCCATACTACACCCAAAGCCCTGACTCTGTCCTGGTGGCCTCTGGTGTCCTGGTGTAGACACAGCCTGTGCCTGGGCAGTTTGGTGAGACACTGGCACACAAGAGGCACAGTAAGGGCGAGGCCCTGTGGAGAGACCTACGGACTCTGGCAGCTTGGCTGGTAGCACTGGGAGGTCACAAGGGGAGCGCTGGGGTCCAACGTCATTGAAGGTGTGGTGGGTACCCCAAGATGCACTCTGGCTCCTCTGGTGTCCCAGGAGGGTTGGGGAGCAAGTAGCTTCCGTTGAGAGTTCTCTCTAAGGCACGTATCTGTTCCTGGGTTCAGGTCCCAGTCATCCTCTGGCTGGGGAACCTGGCCTGCTGCTCAGCTGAGGTGGGATCTTTCCTGCAGTTGCCTGTGAGGAAAGAGGAGCCTCATGATAGCCAGGTCACTAAGGGCTTCTGGCCCTTTGGTGGGCAGCCAGAGGTGTGCCTGTGTGCAGGATACTTTTAGGACGGGACAGCCGGGCTGTCACCATTGTTGCACGTGAAGAGGGACTTCCTGGGTCCCTGTTTCCATGGAGGGTGGGTGGCGGAGCCAGGAATGCTGTCATCATGGCCATGGCAACCAAGGTGCTGCTTCCATCCATTCCTGTCCACATCCCAGGCTCAGCCTCACAGGCCTGGGCAACACGAGGGTTGGACCCTACGCACGTGGCCTCTCTGGGGTCAGGCCAGGATTTCCTGCCCTGGTAATGGCAGAGACAGAGCAAGACACCAGCTGGGGTCTGGTATGGCCCACACACAGATGTTACAGGTTCAGTGGGGATGGGGGCCTCAGGGACCTGGAGACAAGGACCACGGTCCACATGGACGAGGGGACAGGGTAGAGGTGACCCTGACCATGGATGGCTACCTATGGCCACTGGCTGCCACTGGATGGGTAGTTGGGGACTGTGGGGTACTCAGGTAGGCTGTTCCCAGAGAAGTTGCTGAACTGGGCCTCCCTCGAGGGTGGATTCCTCCAGGTACCAGAGTTCCACTCTGTCTGTGCCTTCTGGAAGCTTCCACCAGCCCCACGGTAAATTCTGTGCACCTGTGGATCAGGGACAAGGGCAGAGAACAGGGAGGTCAGCGCAGGGAATGCAGAGACTGGGGCCTGCTGGGGAGGATAAAGTCCCTGATTCTGATGACATCATGCTGATGTGTAAGGGCTAGAGAGATGCTCAGCATTAAGAGCACTGGCTGCTCTTGCAGAGGACCCAGGTTCAGTTCCCAATATCCACATGGCAGCTAACAACCATCTGAACTCCAGTTCAGGGGATCCGATGCCCTCTTCTGGCCTCTGTGGGTGCACTTCATACATGCAGGCAGAATACTCATACGCATAATAAAAATAAAACTTCAAATAAATTTATTTTTTTTGTCTTTTTTTGAGACAGGGTCTCCCTGTAGCCCCAGCTGGCCTGGAACTCACTATGTAGACAAGGTGGGCCTTGAACTCACAAAGATCCGCCTGCCTCTGCCTCCCAAGTGCTGGGATTAAAGGCGTGCACCACCACACCCGGCTTCAAATAAATTTTTAAAAAAATACTTATTTTCTCTAAACGTTTTTATTTTATGTGTATGAGTGTATTGCGTGCATGTAAGTGAGTGCACCCGTGTCCTGCAATGCCACGGAGGTCAGAAGAGGGCTTCAGATTCCCCTGGACCTGGAGTTAAGGACAGTTCATAGCAGCCATGTGGGTGCTGGGAATCAAATCCAGGTCCTCTGCAAGGGCAGTCCAATGCTCTTAACCGTTGAGCCATCTCTCCAGCCCCTTATTATTTTCATTTTATGTGTATGTGTGTATTGCCTGCATGTAGGTAAGTGCACCCATGTCATGCAATGCCCATGGAGGACAGAAGAGGCTGTCGGATCCCCTGGAACTGGAGTTACAGACAGTTGTCAGCTGCCATGTGGGTGCTGGGATTCAAACCTGGGTCTTCAGCAAGAACAGTCAGTGTTCTTAACCGCTGAGCCATCTCTCCAGCCCCTCAAATTTTTTTTTTAAAAGAGGCCAGAGAGATGGCTCAGCAGTTAATAAAGCACTGGACCCCAGCACCCACATGGCAGCTAACAACTGTCTGTAACTCCAGTTCCAGGGGATCTGAAGCCTACTTCTGACCTCCCTGGGCATTGCATGACATGGGAGCACGTGCAAGTAATACACATACACATAAAATAAAAGTAATAGAGGGGCTGGAGAGATGGCTCAGTAGTTAAGAGCACTCGTTGTTCTTGCAGATGACCTGGGTTCCAATCCCAGTACCCACAGAAAGGCTAAGAACCACCCATAACTCTAGTTCCAGGGAATCCGACACCCTCTTCTGTCCTTCCTGGATACTGTACGACACAGGTGCACTTACACACATGCAGGCAATACACTCATACACGTAAAATAAAAAATTTAAAAATTAAAAAAAAAATGTAAGCCAGGTGTGATGGCACACATGCTTTGACCCCAGCACTGCGGAGGCAGAGGCAGACTAATCTTTGTGAGATGGAGCCCAGCCTGGTCTAACGCATAGTGAGTTCTAGGCCAGCTGGGGCTACAGGGCGACCCTGTCTCAGAAAGATATCCCCCCAAAAAGGCAAAGAGGCTGTGGGCTGGGCAGAATGCTGGCTTGGAACATGCAAAGTCCCGAATCTGCCCAAGCAAAACAAAACAACCCAAAAGGAAGCTCTCTGGTTTAACTTATTGGTCTCTGTCACCCCCAGGTGGGATCTGCATCCTCTCCGCTGTCTACTGCAGCTTTATTCCTTCCATCTCTGGTGCAAGTCCAGCACAGAGCCATTCACAGGCCCAAGGCCTGTGCTCAGAAGGTGGCTGCTGGGCTGGCCCTGGGTCTTCTGACCCCAGGGCAGGTCTCTACTCCCCACAGGAGGGATCTTAAGCTTCACCTGCCATGATGCAGTTCCATATTCCCAGCCTGCCCTGGAGTCTGGGGCATTGACACTTGCTAAGCAGAGGGGCCACATGTACCCCCAAAAGCCCCTGGGTGTTGGGTCTCTGAGCTCCTGGTGGACAACACTCCAGGTCAAGGCCTCTGAGGACAAAGGGTGTTCTGTGTTGCTCCCTGGAGATGGTTCTGGAAGACCTGAGACTAAAAGACTCACCCTCATGATTACAACCGCCATCATGACAGCAGACTGGGTGAACATGAGGGCTGGGATCAGCATGACCACTGCAGCCCCAACATTGACCTGGAAGAATCCAACAGCCACCAGCCAGCCACTGCAGGAGAGAGGGGGTGGGGGAGGAAGGCTCAGCACACCCAGAGGAGCCTGCAGTCCTTCACATACAAAGAATGCCCACAAACCAACAAGAAGGGGACCCAATCAAAGAACCATAAGGTGACAGAGTAACACAAAAATGATTATCAAAACAAATTTAATGATTTATCAAGTTTCTGTTCACAAAATGTCCCCAAAAGGGAGACCACAGGATATAAAGCTTTATACCAAAGCTCTGCAGTAACCTACAGTGTAATGTCGTCATAATAAAAACTAACCTGATGTTTTTTATTGTTTTAAGACGGTCTTCCTTGTAGCCCTAGCTGGTTTACACCTCCTGAGGGCTGAGGTTAAAGGCATGAGCCACTGCAGCAGGCTAAAACTAACTTGAACTAAATCCCAAGGCACTTTAAATAAGTCAGGTTTGGTGGCAGACACTTGTCATCCCAGTACTAGGGAAGTGGAGGTGGGAGCAATTCAGGGATTTAGGGTCATCCTTGGCTACATGTTTGAGTGTAAGGTCACCCTGGGCTACATGAGACATTGTCTCAAACACAAACAAACAAAATACCCCTCCTAAAAAAACCCGCACATCACCCCCACATGACTGACTGAGAACATAGCTTAATGAGCCAAATGTGTAAAGTTCTCTGAATTCTCCAAAAACACCCATCTCCCAAGCACTCACTGGGGTGTGCTACAAAAAGATCCTTTTGTGCTTGCTTTTTGGTTTTTCTAAGATGAAGGTCTCACTTCTCTGGCCTTGGATTCCCAGGAACCCTGGTTTTGCCTCCTGAGTGCTGGGATGACAGGAGCAAGTTGTGGCCCCTGGCCTTATTTTGGGTGTGCTATGTGGGCCTGTGCAGGGACCAGAGGTTAGTGGTGGAATCTCTCCATCATTCTCCACCTTCCACCATGTAGGTCTGGGGATCAAACCCAGATCAGGCTTGGCTGCACTCTTTTGCCCAGAGCCCTCTCACTGGCTCAGATATCAGGTCTCTAACTGAACCTCACTGTTTGGGGTAGACTGGTTGGTCAGCTGTCTCAGTCCCCAGAGCTGGGATTATAGGCATGTGCCATGGCTTAAGTACATGCTGGAGATTTGAACCCAGGTTCTCATGGTTTCCCAGCTAAGCCATCTCCCCAGCTTTGTTCCAGTGCTGATATGACAGGCCTGTGCCACCACACCTGGTTTCTTTAGGTACTGGGGACAGAAACCAGGGTTTTGTTTTTTGTTTTGGTCTTTTTGAGATAGGGTCTCTCTGTAGCCCCAGCTGGCCTGGAGCTGTGTAGACCAGGCTAGCCTTGAACTCACAGAGATCTGCCTGCTTCTGCTTCCCAAGTGTTGGGATTAAAGCCATGCACCACGGTGCCGAGTGTGAAACCCAGGGCTTTGTGCATGCTAGGGGAGTGCTCTGCTCACTGAGCTACTAGCATTCTGCCTACTGATCCTCATCTCTCCTAAGGATTTTAAAGAGTGGATGGCACTGAGCTCAGGCATCCCAGTGGAGGAAGGGGGAGTGCAGCCTCCTCCTGGCTAACAGAACAGGCACTCACTTGCACTGGGCACAAGCTGGCGACCCCAGCCTCTTGCTGTCCACTGTTCTGGAGGAGTTAGTTAGGGAGGTGCTGCATGAGGACAGGAAGGAGTGGCAACGATCAACCTGAGATCACCTACCACTCTGACTCAGGCCCGGGTGGGTGAAGTAACTAGGTCCAAAGGTGGTGGGTGACAGTTGTTTGAGACCTGCAGACTCCCTGAGGGGAGGCCTGCCCCCCTCCCCAGCTGCTGAGGAGGAAGCTGCAGAGTAGGGTGGGGACTGTGGTTTACAGGGAGCTCAGGAGAGACTCTAAGGGTGTGTGTGTGGTACCATACTACATGCCTTTAATCCCAGCACTCAAGAGGCAGAGCAGGTGAATCTCTGGGAGTCCAAGGCCGCCTGGTCTACAAAGTGAGTTCCAGGCCAGAACAATAAACAAAGACCAGTTCTGGCTGCTTGTTGATGTGGAAGTCTGTAGTTGGGGGTCCAATGCCACCCTCACCCAACCCGAGGCAATATGTAGACCTCTGTTTCTACAGGTCACCATGAGCTCAGGGTGTGTTTGACATCATGGGGCCCACACTGAACCCCCACATGTGCACATGAGTGCAGGTGACCCACATCCGGATCCTTGTGGGTGTCGACAGCTTACCACACACCCCATCCTGAGAAGCCGATGGCCTGGATCACGGCCAGGATGAACTGGGCTCCGCAGATGAAAAAGAACGCCATGAAGTTAAAGGAACTGTCGGCTCTGTGAGGACAGAAAGCTGTGGTGGTTCCAGTCCCCAAGGAGAAAGCCAGGCTATGTGCCCCCACCTCTCTGCGCAGCCCTCCAATTCTATCAGGCTGGCAGTGCCTGCAGCTCAGGGACCATTAATGGGCAAACATGACAATGTGCCCAAGGAACCAGGCATGGGCTGGTTGAACATAACAGGCAAGGGCAGGGACAGCACATACATCCACGGAGGGACAATGGATACACAGTGTGGTCTCTTCACACACTGGAGTACTACTCAGCCTTGAACAGGAGACTCCAACACATATCACAGTGTGGAGGGACCCCAAAGACATTGTGCTCAGTGAGAGGCCCAGACACAAAAGGCCACACAGTGTGGGACTCCATGACAGAAAGTGTCCAGAACAGGAGAATCCAAAGGCAGGAAGTGGATTCATGGTGGCTGGGGAGGGGACTAAGTGACTACTCATGGGAATGAGCTTCCCTTTGGGGTGACAGTGTTCTCGAAGTACCAGCAATGGCTAATGTTAATGCACTAAAACAGAGGTCTACTGCAAATCAGGAAACTGCAGTACATGAGCTACAACTCACTAAGGTCATTATTAAAATTCAAACAGGGGCCATCGAGATGGCTCAGTGGGTAAAGGGGCTTGCTGCCACATCTGATGACCTGAGTTCAATTCCCAGGACTCATGTAGTAGAAGAACTGACTCCTGCAAGTTGTCCTCTGACCTCCACACGCATGCTGTAGCACATGGGTGTATGCACATATACATAAAATTAAAAAAATGTAGTAACATTAAAAAAAATCTCAAAACGAGGGGACTCGAGAGATGGCTCAGAGGTTAAGAGCACTGGCTGTTCTTACAGGGACCCAGGTTTGATTCCCAGCACCCACATGGCAGCTAATGACTGTCAGTAACTCCAGTTCCAGAGTATCCGATGCCCTCTTCTGACCTCTGTGGGCATTGTACAACATGGATGCACTTACCTACATGCAGGCAATACAGTAGCACACATAAAATAAAAATAATTAAAAAAAAAAAAATCTCAAAACAAGGCTGAGTGTGGGGGCCAGGGTCTGCTCTTTCAGCACCTAGGAGGCTGAGGCAGGAGCACTATCAATTCCAAGCTAGAGTCCATTTCAAAGCACCAAGGACTGGGGGGCATGGCTCAGCGATGTCTCATGCCCCAGGTTCCACCCCAGCACCCCCACAAATGGAACCCCCAGAAGTCTTGACAAAGCCATTCACAGTGGAGAAGTGGGGGGATGGTTGTTAGTAATTGGGCAGGAGCACAATGGAGACCAGGCCCTGGACATGTCATGGCTCCCTGAGATAGGGAAAGAAGTCCCAACCTATGGATGGGTTTGTCAGTTGCCCATAACACTGAGCACAGCACTGGTACAGAGGAGTCCCTAACTAACCAGGAAGAATACCTGCGAAGTCCTGGGTCCTGCAGGCTTTAGCAGTGCTTACCGGAAGGCCTTGTAGGCTGGTCGGAACCAGCACATGTAGCCGCAGGGGGTAAAAAGCAGTAGCCAGAGGAAAGCTAAGCCAAAGTTGGCCCCGGAGCCGCCAGCGATCCACCAGGCCAGGCAGGCAACCAGGTTCACCCCAAGAGTGATACAGTAAACTGGGGGCCAAGAATGAATGGAGAGAGGGAAGTGTCACCAGGCACCTCTGCCAGGCACAGGTGTCAATTGCCTGGGAGAGGGGGCACATGCTAGGCCCAAGTGAGACCTTCTAGGTCCAGCGGACACATACTGGACCCAGGGGACATATGCCAAGCCAAGGGGATATCTGCTGGCCCAGAGGACATCCACCAGGCTGAGGGACACATGCCAGATCCAAGGACCTTCTAGGGAAAGGGGACACTTTCTAAAACCAGCTGGATGCAGGGGACACATATCAGACCCAGGAGACACCTGTCTGGCCCAGTGAGTCTCCCTATCCACACCTGGATATGCACCTCATGCAGGGACACCAGGGTGCAGGAACTCCAGGACTCAGATGACTTGGGTGAGCTAAGGATCCTACAGGGCTGCCCTGTCCTGCATGTTGGTTGTTGAGTGGCAGGCCCCAAGCTCCTGGTCTCCATGGGAACCCTGTGATCCTCCCTAGGCTGTGCTCCCCGGGCTGGGTACTCCCCAGATGTCCTTCCTGGGTTTTCTTTCCCAGCCATCTTCTTCTGTCTTCCCTGCTGCCTTCTCCGGCCATCCTCCCTGGCTATCCTCCCTGGGCTGAATGCTCCCCAGCTGTCCTCCCTGGGTTTTCCTCCCCAGGCTATGCATCCCAGTTGTCTTCTCCTGTCCTCCCCAGTCATCCTCCTTGACCATTCTCCCAGGACTGGGTGCTCCCAGGCTGTGCTTCTCGGTTATCCTCCCCAGCTGCCCCCCATCATGGGGATGTATACCCAGTTGTGCTCTCTGGCCGTCCTCCCCTTCCCCTGCTTTCCTCCCCAGCAATCCTCCCCCTATCCCCCCACCCCCCACCCAGGCTCACACATCCACAGGAGGTAGATCCTCTTGACCAGCACCTGGTGCTCAATGGGGATCTCGTCTGGAATGTCCTGGTAGAAGCAGGGCTTGAGTGGCAGGAAGTGGGGCAGGGGTGGGAAGTTGTTCTCCTTCCCTGCAGAAGGAAACCTGGGCCTCAACACATTGCATGGCCAGGAGCCAAGGCAGCCCCCCAACAGCCCAGGCCTCTGAAGTGGAGGTGGGGAGGATGCAGACCCTCCCAGGGACCAGCCTGAGCCCACTGAGCCAGCTGAGACCTAGCACCATGAGGGACACTGTTCAATTAAAGCCACCAGAGAAAGGGCACAGCAGGTGCAAAGGCCCTGGGGTCCTGGAGCACTTGGCCAGCAGGGAGAATGAAAGGGGGGGGGCCCTGTGTTCCCAGGGAGAATGAAGGGGGGGCCCTGTGTTCCCTGTGTACCCCTCTGAGCTGCCCTTCATGCCCACCCTCTGCATCTCTAAGCTGGATGATACGGGTAACTGCTGCAGGTCGAGGGAAACTTTCCATGGGGCAGCTTCCTGTGGGAGATCCTGTCTATACCTCACGGTGGTACCCAGTGTCACAAGGCAGGAGCTGGGGAAGGCCAGGCCAACACTGTTCCCAAGTCCAGGGTCTTAGGGACTTGAGACACTGCCAGAGGACAGGGCTGACCCCTGAACATGCCAAGGCCTCCTAAGCCACTTACCAGCCATCCCTGCGCTGGCTGACCTGGTGCCCAGGGGGAGCGGCCACCTGAAAGGAGATGAGTATTAGGGCTCCTGTGGCCACAGGGATCTGGGGGACCCCCACCATGTCTACCGTTCCAGGCTCTACTGAGGCCAGCTGGATGGACTGCTGGCTCAGCAGGTGTCAGGCCCGGATGCAGGGCTGCCTGGCGTCACTTCTCATGGCCATGCTCAGATGGGTCAGGCCACCACCTGACCCCACCCACAGTCTTGCAGCCAAGATGTCTTTTATCAATCTCAATGTCCTCCCCATCTTAACTTTGGACAGTGGCCCCCTCAGATGACTGTGAGTGCCTAACCCCCACAAGGACCCCAGGACAGCCCCATGGGCACCCAGGGCTTGTTCCTCAGGGTGGCTCTGTACCCATGTGCCATGGCCAGGTCTGCATGGCCCTCACTAGGTCTCAGACCCATCTCCCGTCAGCCCAGGTTAGAAAGTTACAGGTATGGCAAGGTGCCACAGCAGGCCCTGCTTAAAGAGGTGCCACCAGTAAGCACAGTCCTAAGGCTCCAGATGGGCTAACTGGATGGCTCTACTCTGCCCCACAGCTCCTCCCTTGCCCATCTTCCTGTTGGTTACAGGGAGCATCTTTCTGGAGGGCCATGGGGGGGTACAGGCCAGTCCCCACCTTTTCTCTATGGCTGGGCCACGGTTCCTGCCTCTGTCCACTTCCAGGCTGCCTCGTGGACCCTCCAATCAGATCTAGCCTGGCCTTCCCTGGAGGCTGGTGGGCACATGGCCGGTTCTGGTGTTTTCTCTACTGTGTGGCCACGGTGAGCAGAATGTCACCTCCCCATGGGTGGAGACTGTTGCCAGGACAGGGTTCCTATGGACAGTACCTGCTGGACCTAGCAACATAGGTGCCAGGCAGCAGGCACCTACTCTGCAGCTAGTCAACAGTGGTCCCAGCCCTAACTGTCCTGATCCTTCTGCAACCTCCCAGGCCCCCATAAAGAATAATCATGAGCAGGCTGTGGCTGAACCAACCCCAGACCATCCTGTGTCCATACATACCTGGAACCTTCCAGACTTTGGGGACAGGCAAGGTGCCACCTGGGGCTTCTCTGCCCCTGGAAACACCCCAAGCTACCTATAGTCCACCAAGAAGCTGGTCTCACCATTGCATGCCATCTGGCCCCACACACAGACCTGTCCGCCCAAAGCCCGGCAGTGTCCACTGCCTTCCTCAAGACAGTAAATTGGTTAGAGGTTGTTTATTTTCACATGCCATGGCAGTTCCTGGACATGACCTCGGAGGACTACTGGGACGGGACAGGACAGCCACCAAGCTCATCCCTTGTACAGTTGAGCCTGCATTCTCATGACCAGCAGAAAGGATGGCATGGGATGGCTGGCACAGGCTGTCCATGTCTGTGAACACACAAGACAGAGCCCCTGGAGCCACGGTTGGTGGAACTGCAAGTGATGTCCTCTGGCCAGGAGCAGAGAATGTTTTGGAAGCATGCAGGAGGCCACTGGGCCTACGGGTCAGGGTCTAGCAGGCAGCACTGGTCCTCCAGGATGCCCCGGAACACCTGGAAACGGTGGTTGAGGTCCGGCCGCGCATGAACACGGAAGCGTGTACCCAAGGCGCCATCAGGTGAGGGTGCCCCATAGAAGACACGCTGGATACGGGAGTGGACAAGGGCCATGGCACACATGACACAGGGCTCTCGGGTGACAAATAGGTCATAGCCGGTGCACACATACGGCAGGCCATCCTCCTCCTCATCAGTGTCTAGCTTGCGCACACTACCAACACAGGCACCCTGGACAACAGTGGCAGGGGCAAAGGAACAGGCTGGGTGGGCACTGAGGTCACAGGCACCACGGCCCTGGCCCTGGGCCACCAAGTCAATGCATACCATGACGGCATGCAGCAGGGGACTGGCCACGCCACTGCAGTCATGGCCCATGGCCAGCACATGGCCTGAGGTTGGGTCTACCACAACAGCACCCACAGCCCGCAGGCCCTGGGCAGCTGCCTGCTGTGCAGCATGCACAGCCTGTTCCATGTGGTTCTGAATGGCAGCACGCTCCTGAGGCGAGAAGAGCTGCCCAGTCAGTGCACTGGTCACTTGTTTGTCCTCGTGGAAGGATGTGGGCCAGTGGGCCCGAGCCTCTTCAAACTGGCTCCAGGTGAGGGGTGGCCTGGCAGGTATGGGCACCAGGAAAGGTGGACCCAGGCCATGAGGGTCTACAGCCGGTCTTGGGAGGAGATCGGCCAGGGAACGTGGGCCAGCTAAAGGCCCAGCCAGGCACAGCAACAACTCTAAGGCATGGGTCCCCTCTGCAGTGCAGCTGGGGCGTACCCGCTTGAGGTGGGGCTGGGCGGGCAGTGGATAGATGGTGGACACCTCCCTGATGAGGCGAGAGGTCTGGCGCTTGTCCAGGATGGGTGCGACGTAGGCCAGGACCAGTTCTACGGCCCCTGACTGCTGCTCTGACAGGACAGGGTGGGCTTGCCATTGTGCCGGCTCTTGCTCCTCACTCCCAGTCTTCTTGGGCCCAGGGCACTCCATTGTCCATGAGGCTGGACTGTGGGAGACAGAGATTGGAGTGGAGCATCATCCGTCAGCTTCACGGGTTGGGGTCTGTCCTGGGATGCTGCAGGCTCCAAGAGGCCGAAAGGAAGGAGTCAGGTCTGAACTCGCCCTGCTAACTCCTAGTATGCAAAGAATCACCTTCCCTGGGCTCAGTATAGCACTGAGGTGTCCTCACACACGTGATGGATGCCGTGTTTGGGGGTACGTTTGGAGACAATCAGAACTACAGTGAAATTCACCAGCAGGGGCTATGGCTCAGTGGGCAGAGTACTTGCTGGGCATGTACAAAGCCCTGGGTTCATTCCCTGCACCAAGGCATAGGGATGAAGGCCTATCATCCCAGCACTCGGGAGGAAGAGGCAGGATAGCAATAAGCTGGAGGCTATCCTGGGCTATATGGTGAGTTCCAGTTGTACAAAGCTAAATAGCAAAATCCCATCTCAACATCCTGTATCCCCTATAAAAGGCTTAGTATGCAACAACTCCCCACCAAGCCAGCACTGAGGACTCTACACAAGACTTCCCAGTTCCTGTAGCAATGGGCTAGCCTAGGAAAGTGCCGACCCATACCACATGAGCTTTTTGCCAAGGCTCATGGCTTGCTATGCCCAGTGTTCTGACCAGGCCTGAGCCAACAGGACCACAGCTGCCCTTTGGTACACGGGAGAAAAAGTGAGACTGGTCAAGGGGCCAAACTGCGGAGAAGCAGGACCAGGAGGTGGTGGCGGGGATCCTGGTTCTCAGGCCTGAGCTGATTCTTGGGATTCTCAAGGGTAATAGCTAGGATGGACAGGATGGGAGGTGGCAGGCCAAGGGGAGAAACAGTCCCACCAGGAGTCTTCGAACACTGACCTCCCAAGAGATTAGCACCTCCGACTTCCTATTTATTATTATTTATTTATATTTTTTGGGGGGTCTTTTTGAGACAGGGTCTCCCTGTAGCCCCAGCTGTTCTGGAACTCACTATGTAGACCAAACTGTCCTTGAACTCACAGAGATCCACCTGCCTCTGCCTCCCGAGTGCTGGGACTAAAGGTGTGTGCCTGTGTGGCACCATGCCCAGCTTGCCTTCCTATTTTATGTCATCCAGCCCACCTGCCTCAGGCAGGCAGTAAAGCCAGCAACTCATCTATTGCCTAAAGGATGTCCCTGGCCCACCTGCACCCTGCTGGCTAACCACAAGTTACAGGCCAGAAGATTGCACCACTGTTCATGAAAATCACCAGAGGTCTGTCCAGATTCTCCAGGGAGGGGCTGGGGGCATGGCTCAGGGGTGAGTGAGAAACTACAATCTTGCAGTAAGGGGTTGGAGGTGTGGCTCAGGGGCTCAGGGGTGGGTGACAGCCTGGAGTCCCCCAGTGAGGGGCTGGGGCAGGGTTCAAGGATAGAGTGACAGCCTAGGATCCCCAATGAGGGGCTGTGGACGTGGCACAGTAGTGAGAACATGACTGTCATGAACAAAGCCCTGAGTCCTATACCTACAATCAAAAACACCCAAAAAACTTGAACCCACATAAGTGACCTATAGGGCTGTCTGTGCCCATCATGGATATGGCTGGGGTTCCTAACACTAAATACTGGCAGTACTGCCAGGTGTGGTGGCACAGGCCTTTAGTCCCAGCACTGAGGAGGCAGAGGCAGGTGGATCTCTGTGAGTTCCAGGCCAGCCTGGTCTATGTAGTGTGCTCCAGGCCAGCCTGGTCTACGTAGTGAGTTCCAGGACAGCTGGGGCTACAGAGAAACCCTGTCTCAAAAACACCAAAAAAATAAAATAAATAAGTACTGGCAGTCCTAACATTACTCAGGAAGGAGTGACCTGACACACCCCTGGCTTCTCCATAGCTGGGCTTTACTCCATCCTGGAATACAGGGATCTCTTCACCATGGATTCACATACCAGCTTTCACTGCTCATTTGGACTGCCAGAGGTGGCATCACTCTGCTCTGTTCACTGACCAACCTTTAGAACCCACTGCCTGGTTCAGCCATGGATGTCACTACACAGGACCCATGCAGACAGAGCCCATGGAGGATCTACAGTGGCATCTGGATCTCCCTGCCTGCACACAACATACCACATCTGTAGCCCACATGGCCTGCCTGGGCCACAAAGCCCCTCTGTCTCCAGGGCAAAAGACACAGCCTCGTTTGTCCCCTCAAGGCTACAACCTCTGTCTGAAAAGAAACAAAGTATGGGACAGAGAAAGGAAGCTAGAGACAGGAAGGCCAGGGTATGTGGATCTCTGGGGATGACAGTTAAAAAGCTATGGGATGGGCCAGGCGAGGTGGTGCACGCCTTTAATCCCAGCACTCGGGGGGCAGAGGCAGGCGGATCTCTGTGAGTTCGAGGCCAGCCTGGTCTCCATAGTGAATCCAAGACAGCTGGGGCTACAAGGAGACCCTGTCTCGAAAAGACCGAAGAAAAAAAAAAAAGGCTATGGGATGGTAGCCAATGACATGGAGGGCAAAGGGGGCCTTTGAATTCATTGATACAGGGCACATTCACTATGCTTGCTTCCCATTTTGAGACAAAGCCTCTCTGTGTAGCTCTTGCTGGCATAGAACTAATTATGCCAAACAGGATGACCTCAAACTCGGGAGTAATCCTCCTGCCTTGGCCTCACAAATGTTAGGATTAAAATGTACACTTCCAGCCGGGTGTGGTGGCACATGCCTATAATCCCAGGACTTGAGAGACAGAGGCAAGGCAGATCTCTGTGAGTTCGAGGTCAGCCTGGGCTACATAGTGAGTTCCAGGTCAGCTGGACCACACACACAAAAAAGGGACACTTCCATGAACCTTAGTTGTAGGTGACAGGTGGTAAGGTTGGTAACGATGCGAACTGGCCAAACTCCTACCTAGAATACCCAGCTGGGACCCTGGCTCAGGGGTAGAGTGACAGCTTAGACTCTCCCAGTAAGGGACAGGGGGCGTGGCTAATGGATAGTGCCGCTGGCTATCATTCCCCCAATAAGGGGCTGCGAGTGTGGCTCAGAGGTTAAGGTCAGCCTAGCTATAGTAATTCCAGGGTTCCATCCCTAGTATCACGAAAAATAGTCAACGATTGTGCGTAAAATACCACGGCTTAAAGGGAAACAGAACATTAGTTCTAAAGTTGGTAAATAGCTCTGAGGCAGGGGACTGACCGCCATAACCCAGACCATACAAACCGGAAGCAATCAAAGGTCTTGGGATATCCGGTACCAGCTACAAGGCAAAAGCACGCGCAGCAAAGAGTCGGCGAAAGGAGTGGTGGGCATAAAGGCTTGTGCGCATGCTTAGCAGCACTGACGGCTCGCGCACGCGCACCCGCCTTCCTAAACGCGCGCAACCCTCTTTGAACCGCCACCCGCACCCCCCCCGCCC